CCGCCACTGCGGTGAAGGGTGTGGCAGGCGCGCCGTAGCACGCCGCCGATGCCGCTACCAGCAGCCCGGGGCTGGACGGGATGGCCGTGCCGGCGCGGGGCAGCCGCGTGGCCGCCGCGCCCTTGTGCCCGCCGGCGGCTGCGTCGGATGTTGCAGCTGCACTGTCGCTGCCAGGTTGGGCCCTGGGCGCATCCCACTGAATATCGCCGCTGAAGCTTGGGGGCACCTGCAGGCCAGGGGATCCCGGGACCAGGGCCGCCGCTAGGGCAGCGGTATAAGCCTGGCCCGGGGGGAGGGGGGTGGGGGAGTTGGGTTGGATGGTGTGATGAGGGGCGAGTGTGCACATGCAGGACGTGGCCGCAAGTCGGCTGTTTAGCGTCGGCCCTTGATGGAGGCGCCGCAGTTGGTTTGCAGCATCAGGAGCCAGGTGTCAGAGCGTCAACGCACCTGACGCACACCCCCAGGGGAAGGGCGTCAATGGAGCAGCAGTGCGTCGCGTGGGGGCCCCAGCCGTCCTTCAAGCCTGAGCCCCCTCAAACCCACACCCCTCACCTCCTCGCGCGCCGACTGAGCAGACCCGCAGCGGTCCAGCGCCGCCACCGCCGCCGCCCCCTCCCCCTCCAGCCCCGCTGTCGTCACCAGGCTGCAGCTGCTCGGCTGAGACCCGGCCAGGCGCGCCCCCGCTGCCCCGCCGCGCGCGGGCAGGCTGCAGCCACCGCTTGCCTTTGCGGCGGCCTTGGTGTGCGGGGATGCGGGAGCGCCGCGCGCCAGGGGTGCTCCAGGACCCCGCGCGGTGTGCTGCGGGGCTCCAGGGGCGTCGCAAGGTGGCAGCGAGCGCCGCCGCCGCGAGATGTGTGCCTCAAACGCCGCAGAGTTGCGCCGCGCGACTGCAGCCTGGCGCGCCTGGCGCACGCGCTCCGCGGTGCGCGGCACGGGCGGGGCCGCCGGCGCTGCGGGCGCCGGGGCCACGGGCTCCGGGGCGGCGGGCGCAGACCACCTCCGCGCAGCAGCAGAGGCCGGCAGCACAGGTGCCACCATGGCTGCACGAGCGCCCTGCACGTGACCATGCGCCGCTGCCCCTGGCCTTGTCAAAGGCGAGAGCGCCGGCGACGCCGGCGGGGCACTGTCGGCGGCGGCAGCCCTGAACAGGCGCGTCAGCCGCTGTTTGGGTGTCGCGCCCTCCGCACTTGGGCGGCTGGCCTGCCCCTTGCGGGCCCCTTGTGAGGGGGCGCTGCCTGGGACCGGGCTGCCCTTGGGGCCGGTGCGCGGCTGGCCAGGGGCTAGAGGGCAGGAAGGATGACGATGGGGATGAGGGAAATGACAGTATGTCAGGGTGGGTGCAGAGAGGGAACGAGGAAGGAACAAGTAGAGCGCACGTTTTCGCGAGCAGCTGCAGACGTATGGCGACATGTGAGTGCATGCAACACGCGGACTGAGGCACGCGCAAGCGTGTCCAAAAGTCAGCGGGAGGCGGGGAAGCAGGCGCCCCCCACCCATACCGCCCAAGCCCTCACCGCCGCCCTTGCTGCTGCTGGACTCCGGCGTGGCGCCCTCCAGGCCGTCGCCTTGGGAGCAGGGTGTGAAGTACGGCGTCGCGCCCAGCCCGCCGCCGCCGCCGGGCGTGAACCCCCAGCCGCAGGGCGTGAAGTACGCCTCCCCGGGCGTCCCTGTGGCCTGCGCGGCCAGTATGGGCTCGGAGGCCGCCGCAGCAGGCTCCACCACGGCCGTGGGGCCCGCAGGGGTGCCGCTGCCCGCAGCGGCCGGTGTCATGGGAGAGGGCGCGAGGTCCCTGCCACGGCCGCGCGCACCCCGGCCGCCGCTGCGCGTGGCGCTGCCCTGCGGCGTAGCACATATGGCCGGTTGCTTCACTTGCGTCGGCAAAGCGCCGGCCCGCCCCCTCCGCGCCAGCGAGCCGCCAGCTGCTGCGGCCTGCACCCTCTGCTGCGTCGCAGCCCGCCCGCGCTCTTGCTCTTCCTCATCCCACAGCCAATGGCGGATAGCTGAGTCCGTAGGGCTCTGCACAACCTGTGGAGTAGCGGATGCCGGGTTGAGGGCCACGGCGCTGCTGCGGGGGTTGGCGGCGCGGCTTGATGAAGACAGCCCCGCCGCCGCATCCGAGCTGGGAGCCGCGGAGGGGGGTGACGCGGCGGGCCACCGCCGGGCAGGTGCCCCAGAGGCCGCGCCGCCGGAGCGGACTGCACTGCCGATGCCGCTGGCGGCTGCGCGCTTGATGCTGCTGCTAGGGCTTGGTGCCGCCCAGAGAACTGCGCTGACGCCGCTGTGGCCCATGCCTCGCCGCCGAGCGGCGGCCGGGTGGGCAGGGTCACTGGTGGTGGCGGCGCCGCCGCTGTTGGTGGCGCTAGTTGTTGCCGCAGCTCCAAACTCCCCCTGAGCCGCCCCTGTATCAAACACGACGCAGTCGCCTGGCTGCTGCAGAGCCATGTCAAGGCTGGTGGGGCTGGCCACAAACCACTGCCCCAGCGACTCCCACACCGCCTCGGCAGGGCGTGATGCCGGGCTGGCCACTGGCTTGGCAGGCGCCGCTGTGCGCGGCGGTGATATCGGCCCCAGCTCGGCCGGACGGCCAAAGCTGGCCGTCAGCAGGGGGGCGATCGCCAGCGAGGGCGCGTTGCTGCTCTCAGGGCTGCTGGGGGGTGACGCCACGGCCGGGACTGCCGTCTCCGCTACCAGGTCGACAGCTACCCTACCGGGTTGCTCCGCTTGGCTGACCTGCTGCCGCTGCTTACTTTGTTCCTGCTCCTGCTCTGGCTGCTGCTGCTGCCGCTGCCGCTGGTGGGGCGGCAGTGGCGATTGTGGGGACCGCCTGTGCTGCTTCCGCTGCGATTGTGCCTGCCCAGGCTTGCATGTCTCCTCATGCGACTTTAGACTGCCGGGTTCACAAGCTGCTGCTGGGGCAACGCGCTGCAATCTGCTGCTGCTGCTGCTGCCCCGCACCGCTGCCGAGTCTGGTGTGTTGCTTAAGGCTGCCACACGTGCCGTCCTGATGCTGCCAGGCGCTCTCATCATGGGGACAGCGTTAGTGACAGGGGTACGCATGCCCGGCGTGGCAGCGTATGGCACGAGGGGCGAGGGATACGACGCTGCCACGGCTGCTTTGCCCCTTGGCTGTGCTGGGCTGCGCTGAGGGGTCGCGTACGACGGCACGAGGCCGCCGAAGCGGCCCGACGAAGCCATAGCAGGGGTCTCCAGCAAGCGGACAATGCCCTCTTGTTGTTCCAATGGGCACCCCGCCTCCTGTTCACTCCGGGACCCCAGGCTCTGCCGGCGCTGGCGGCTTGCGGCTGCAATGGCCGCAAAGGCGCCTGGAGTGCCCCATCGCCCAAACACGCTGCCCCCCTCACTGGGCAGAGGCTGGCCGCCAGGCTCATGCTGTATCGGTATGCTGCGGCTGGTTGCCCCTGCATCTGGCGCCTCGCGCGACCTCTGGGGCATGGGGCTGGTGCTGCTGGCGCTGCTGCGCGCCTGCCCTTTGCCGCTCGCCGTGGCAGTGGCCCCATTTGCGCCAGCGTCACTGCTGTGGTGACCACCAGGCATGGATGCCAAGAGCTCCCTTCTCATACCCCCTGCCGGGATCCTGGCTGACACAGCGGTGCTGGAACACACCTGCAGTGATGCACTGGGTTCAGGCTGCAGCGCCCTATCAACGGCGGACTGCTCCGACGCCAGTGCAGCCCGCTGAGCCGTGGACTCCGCGCAGGCCCCGGACTTGAGCAACGATTGCATCGACACTGGCAGCTGCTGCTGTTCTTGTTGTTGCTTCAGCTTCTGCTGCTGCTGCTGCTGCTGCTGCTGCTCCTGCTGCTGGGGCTGCATCATCGTCTGTGATGATGCAGCCCAAGCAGAGCTCGCAGTGCTGCTGCGCCGACGCTGCGGCATGACGGCGATGCCGCTGCGCTGTGTCGCATTCCCAGGCTGGATTGCGATGCTGCTCGCGCGCCTTGTCCGCATCATCGCTGGCGCAGCTGTTGGCGGGGTTGGCCTGGTGGCCCCGACTGTGCGCTGCTCGCCCCTAGTTGCGCCAGCAGCTGGGAGACCAGCGAGCCCTGCCTCATGTTTACCGGCACTTTTCGTGGCGTGTCCATCACCATGAGCTGCTAAGATGCTGCTGAACGCCTGATCAGAGCTCGTTCGGCCCTTGGCTGGCCTTGCTCCTTTGCGAGCCGATGCTGCTGTGGGCAGCAGGTAATGTGGCACATACGTATCACTCCTTATCGATCTAATCTGGTCGCTACGGTCGCGATCCATGCCCACTGTAGAAAGCGACAGACCGCCACCTTTTCAAAATAGCAGGATATCCGAAGTCGCCATTCAGCGTTCAGAAGCCGTAACTGTGAGGTGAATGCGGAGGAGCTTCTCAAGGCAATCCCACGGTCCTTGACATATGGACTGCAGCGGTCAGTAGTCAGCACGCAGATGGAAGCTGCCGCAGCCAGGGAGGGTCGTGCAGACTGCAGACGTTGCCAAGGTTCGTGCATCTTGTGCAAATCTGCCGCAACTTATGTTCAAAATCAAGGATGTTCCTCAGGCCATGATGAGCTGTTAATCCAGCCACACAGATGCAAGTTGATGTTGGTGCAGGCTGGAAATACTCCCCCATGGCCCAACTCATGCCCCTTCATCTGCACGAGTGCACGTTCCCTGCACATGCACATTAGCAGACCTTCTCTGTGGCTGACACATCCTTGCCTCCTCTGCACACCAGACATGGGGCCTCACTGCCACGTATATTGTACCCCAGCAGCGCACCTTTGTGCTGTACCCGTTGGCTTTTGCGTCCAGTGCATCTGAGCGCAATCCCAGCTGCTGCTGTGCTTTGCCCCCCTTGCCAACTCCATGTGCCCTACATGCGCCTCAACAGGACCCGCTGAGCAGCATGGCACAGCGGCACATGCAGGTGCGAATCCAATGCGTGCGGTCAGGTGGTTACCCAAGGCGAGCAGCGTGAATGAACAATGGTTACTAAAAGGAGGATCTGCAAGGGCCAGGGGCAGCGCTGCTGCTGCACCGCCAGCCATGCCCTGCGATCCGCCCACGCTGCTGTATGCTTGGGTGGCCTGCAGCAAGCGATGTCGCCGCAGAAAAAAGAAGATCAGTCGCCGCTCGCAAAACCGCTCAACTGCACACTCAGAGCCTGTGGGAAAGTCGGGTGTGGGGAGGGCACAGGTCATTGCAAGTCTGCAAGTGTGTAAATATGAGGTGGTAGCTGCGCTTGCATGACAGCCATTGAGGGCGCGTTCCGTGAAAAAACCTAGGTGCAGCTGCTGCTATGCACGAGGTGGGTCCGGCTTTCTATTGCGCCAGCCTCGGGCTCGCCTCCCCCGCAACTCACTTGCCCTCCTCAGCCAGCGACTCCACGCGCAGGAGCACGAAGCCGATCGCCAGGCCCTTCGAGATTCAAACGGAAAATGGGTAGGGTGGTTGACGAGGGTGTCGAGGGGCCCAGCGTGTGATGCGCTGAGGATGTCCACATCAATGGCATTGTCGGTCAAAAACATGTCGACACCACACGCGAAGTCAGTGAGCCTGCCATGTGCCTGCTTTCAATCTCGAGCTGCTGGGCCAATGGCCTATGCGCCGCTTGATATTGACCATGTCAATGCATCAATGTGCAACCACCACCCCCCTGCGCTAGACCCGTGACAGGCCTGATCTTCATCACCCGCTGCTCACCACGAGGGTGATGGCGGTCATGGTGAGGGCCACGCCGCCAATGAAGGCACCCTCGCCCGCAACCATCGCCACCTCCATGGGCAGCGCCTTGGTCACGGTCGCCGCACGGCTGGCCGGGGCGGCCTTGCGAGCAGTCCTGCGTAATTATGGGACATTCAAATGATTGAAAAGCGCCGTGGCTTGAGATCGGGGCCAACGCGCTGTGTGCCGGAGGATGGGAGGCATTCCGAACTGGGGCCCGCTGCCGCGCTCCATTGGGGTAGCCGCTCGCGCTCGGACAAGCGCACCTCACGGCAGGCTTGGAAACGGCCGGCAGAACGGGCCTGGCCGCGCCCATGGAGCGGGCAGCGACCCTGCTGCAAGCGGCAGCGGACTTCTGAGCGAGAGCCATTGCGCAGAGATTGCTGGGATGAGGAATTAGAGGGTGGCTCTGACGTGAAAGTGCTTGCCTTCGGGCAGGGCCACGGCCCAACAATACCACCCTTGCAGCAGCAGGCACTCAGCAGTCACTGCTGCTCTCTTTGCGCGCCAACGCCCTGCGTGAGATTGCAGCGCTGACATCCACCGCACACATAGTTATGACTTAAACATGTATTACACAATCAGAGATGCTGAGCTGTGGCACATCAAACACCAATGCTTTGAGATGAGGTGGGCTCTGTCAAAATGTCCTGCAGCACATCGATATCATCGCTTTCCAAACTCATCGAGCACAAAGTCAAAAGCAGCATGGTCTTTGGTGAGGCCGCCACTCCAAGGCTGCTGCTGCACCGCCGCGCCCGGCACGCCAGCAGCGGCGGTTGCACCCCCAACCAGCCCATGCCCTTGCCCCATGCCACTTGTGTGTGGCCCTGCAGATGCCGCGCCCAGACCACCGACCATTGAACCTATGCCCCCAAAGTGGTGCTGCTGCGCCACCGCTCCATGGGACGTCTTCAGAGGGGAACCACCGCCGCCCATCATCAGACCGCCGCCAAGCGCGCCCAACGGCTGCATCTGAACCGCGGGCTGCACGTGCGCCTGCTGCTGCTGCTGGCCCCATGGCTGTTGCTGCTGCTGTGGCTGCTGTTGCGAGGTCGCCGGCGGCTGCTGCCATGGCTGCTGTTGCGGGGGCGTGGGGCCTGGCAAGACGCCGCCCCCCAGCCCAGAGAACATGTCATCCGGCAGTGGGGCCGCACCCTCGCCCACGGCAGGCGGGCCCGCGGCTGCACGCACCACCGCTGCTGCCGCCATGGGGGGCTCCGGCGACATCGACAAACCGCCAAACAGGTCCTGCACAGCCGCTGCTGTCTGCTGCGCCGCCGGTGCAACGCCCACCTCCAGGCCTGAGAACATGGAATCCGCGGCCGCCGCTGCAGCAGCAGCCGGAGGGGGCACCGCAGGCTCGGGCGGGCCGGCCAGGTCCCCCAGCAGGTCGAGCGCAGACGCGGGCGCAGCCGCGGCGGCGGCAGCGGGCGTGGGCGCCTCGTCGTCGAGCGACAGCAGATCCGCGGCAGGGGCCGCCGCGGCGGGCGCGGCCGTGGCGTAGGGCTTAGC